GACACACAACGGCTCAGACTGGGTTTCAGACCCTCCGTGCGTTGAAGCCTCTGCCTCCTCAGATCTACCCGCGCGGTCGTGGCGTATAATCAAAACCCCGCGAGCGCGTGAGCTCTCTCCATGACCTTCGGCCTCCCTCATCTCCAAATCATGCTCAGGCACAAAATCGGGCCCTGAATTGGCGTCGTAGGACGGCGTCGCCGGAACTCCATCACCACCAGCTTCGCCGCCACCACCGTCGCCGGAATCAGCCAGATCCAGTGAAGGATCGGAAGAAATATGCGAAAGGGGCGAAAGATTACCTTCTTCTTCTTGCACGACCTAAATCTCGTCGACATTGATGTTCGCCATGGCACTCTTCAGGGTAATAACAACAACACGAGAGAAATAAGGTTGTAGAAGAAGGAGAGGAAACTCGAAGAGGAACGATACGAAAGGAGAGGGGAAAGGAAAACACAGCAAAGCCAGAAAAACAGCAAAGTGACCTTCCCCTCAATTATCGACGGCTACTTATAATCGATGGAAGGAAACCGAAGAGTTAAAGTTACATCGGGAATCGCAACCGTCAAATCATTACTGTCAGGGTTTGTCAAATTTCAAAAGCGCCGCCTCAACAGAACAATCAGACAACGACACGTGGACACCTACCCTAGCCAGCCTATAGCCGCTGACGTCACAAATTGCGCACACCACCTGGGGGGCAGGGCGCACCCGCGAAGAGAAAAATCATATTAGAATCCAACCACGTTGCTCGCGCGCATGCAAACACCAACTGGGGGGCATGGCGTACGCACGAAGAAAAAATCACATTTGAACCAAATCATGTTGCTCGCGCGTATACACGCACTGACTGGGGGGCATGGCGTACCCGCGAAAAGAAAAGGAGCCGCACCTAAATCAACCCACGCGCATCCGCGTCAAGAAGCGCGCTAGAAATCAACCCCAGACCCAACAGTCTCGCGGATTTAACCCAGACCCGAGCCGACCTCGTGGAATTCAAACAGGTGGCATCCGAAGAATACCACCTGGTGGGAGGCAATTGTTGGGCATATGGCTCGGGTCCAGGCGCGCAAAGAGGCCAGCGCGACGCCGCGCACGCGAGAAGGCGTACCCAAAGTCGCCCACACGCGAGAAGCTTAAGCGCCCGGAGGCCTCATGCGCGGACATGGACTCCAAACGACCGAACGGCGGCGTTTCAGCCGAAAGTTGACTATACCTAGTCTGCCTTGGAAATGACACCATATCCCTTGAAGAGTGGTCACATCAGTGTCCTAGGTACAATGATGGACAAGCCCCCTAGTACTAGGTAGGAGGATGGCTGAAAGTTCTGACAATGATAGCAGTCTTGTCACCGTGTAACTCACCCACCACCATGTAGCCTATAAATACGGCATTTACTCCGGTGGGTGAGGGATCGCATTTTTTACTCTCTGACTAGTATTACGAACTACTGCTTTCTCTCTCTAAGAATACCTCCTTTCTAGACCTCTTGTTGTTACTCTTCTCACCCTCTTTTCCGAGTTCACCTCCTACCCTCAGTTGAACTCAAACACTTCGATACTAAGTTGTGGAGACAATTGTATTGGCCTTTAAATTACTATATAGGAACAAATTATGTGCCTCTAATTGTTAATTATTTGTCACTAATTTCAATTTTACATAAAATCACGTGATTTCTAGAGGCAAATTAACTGCCTCCAATTCTTATTTTCTTACGACAAATGAATTTGCTGCTAAATTTTGGTTTTTAGAGGGACAAATATTCACTTGAGATGAAGAATTTTATTTTTGCGATATCTGACATAGATATTAGCTTAGTTTGGCCATGCTGTAGCTTTTGCAGAAGGAGCTTCTGGCTGAAGGTTTTAGATAAGTACTTTTCAAAAAAAGCAGTTTAGTGTTTGGTTGTAAAAATATTAGAAGTGCTTTTTAATATGAGCGGTTGTGTAAAATGACTATAAAGGACTTATAATATACAATATGAATAAAAATTCTAAACAATAAAAAGTAGTAAAAATGGATCTTGTTAGATTTCTTTTATATTAAATAATATGATTTTATAATTTATTTTATTTGTAAAATGATATAAATGAAGAAAATTTATATTTTCTGAAATAAAATTAAAATATGGTAAGGATAATCTTATATTTTCAAAACAGCTTTTCGCATAAGCTCCAAATCGTAGCTTCTGCTTTTATGTTATACAAAAGCGCTTTTCGGCTTCTTAAAAGCCGAGCTTTTAGAGGTGTTTGGCCATGCTTCAGCTTTTAAAGCCGAAAAACACTTCTAAAAGCCGAGCCAAAGATAGGCATTTTATTAGTGGCATATTGTTCCTAAAATAAGAGCATTGATCCTTTATGTAGGAATGTCAGGTTTAAGATTTAGTTTCAAACTATCTATGGCTCATGTGGGAATTTCAGTGAGCTTTTCTATGCTATCTTTCTTGACAATCAACTAACCAATAGCATTTTAATGGAGACTTAATTATCATTATGAAAATAAGATCAATGATACATTTTTTTATATTTTATATTCTTAAATGATGATGAAATTTCTCCAAATGTTTGACATATATATTCTTTTTTTTATGTATCATCTCGATCGAAAAATGGTCAATAAAATTATATGGATTGAAGGTTGATAGATATAAATATAGCATAAAAATATAAATTATCAAATATGAATATTCCGGCCAACTGGCCGGGTTATAAGCTAGTAGTATATATGAACAAATGGTACAAATCTAAACGAAATTTCACGTAGTAATTAGAAAACCAAATTTGCTTACAATAGTTCCTAAAAATGTAAATAACAATCTTAAAATTCAATCTTCGTAATAACTAAATCTCCTAAGTCCTAATATTATTATTATATCTTGCCGCAGGCACATATGAGTACTATGGATGGAGACAATTCTAATTGTTGGTGTTTTAATTACAATCATAAGCGCATTTTATATCTGTCATTAAAGGTTTGTCAATTTATATATTAATTAAAGAAGTAATAACAACAATTAGTTTCGCCTCTAAATTCATTTCTATATCAGTAAAATAATTTATGCCTTGCATTAAAAAAATAATTTATGCCTAAAAAAATATTAAATATGACTATAATAATGAAATTCAGTTTTACATAAATAAGAGGGCAAAGGTTTAAATGACAGTTACAAAAAAATGTGCCGCTATATGTAATATTTAAATTAAATTAAAAATAAATGTGAAAAAATAATGGTATTAGAGGCGCATAATTTAAATTTTAGAGACAAAAAGGGGTGTGCCTACAGTGACATGCATGTCACGGTGATTTGCACTTTCCGGTCGACCTCATATAGGATTCGGTCGACCTCATATAGGATCTGGTCGACCTCATTTAGGATTCGGTCGACCTCATATAGGATCAGGTCGACCTAATATGTTGTTTCAGTGTAAAAACAATTCATGGTGCATACTTTGGATATTCATATCATACAATTGGCTAGATTGGAAATTGAAGACTAATGACTTGTTTTAAAGCTGGAGTTTCCCTCTACATATTGAAGTGATTGAGAGCTCGATAGGAAGTCCAGAAGACCATTTTTGAACCTCATCTAAAGGCTATGCCAAAATAGGGAAAATGCCTGGAAATGGCTAAGTCTGGAAACGTGTTTGTGAAGCCTATTTTGGAGCTCAATTCGAGAAGCATGAATGCGAGTCGAGTCCAGGAGCCTCTACCACGTTAAATTAGGTATGTTTTTATACAAATTCAAGGCATTGGATGAAAGATTGGATATCTGTAAGGCTTCAAACAAAAGGATCGAAGTTGCTACGAAGACTGTTTTTCTGGCAGACTTCGAGCACAAGCAAGCTGCCAGAAAAACAGCCTTCGTAGCAATTTTGAGCCTTTTGTTTGAAGCTTTAAAGATATTCAATCTTTCATCCAATGTCTTGCCTTTGTATAAAAAAATACGTAATTTAACGTGGTAGAGGCCCCTGGACTTGACTCGCATCCATGCTTCTCAAATTGAGCTCCAAAGTAGGCTTGACAAACACGTTGCCAGACTTAGCCATTTTCATGCAGTTTCCCAGTTTTGGCATAGCCTTTTGGTCAGGTTTAAAAATGGTCTTCTGAACTTTCTATTGAGCTCCCAAGTACTTTAATGTGTAGAGGGACACTTCAGCTTCAAAACAAGCCTTTAATCTCCAATTTCTATCCAGCCAATTGTAAAACATGAATCTCCAAAGTAGATACCATGAAACTGTTTTTACACTGAAACAACATATTAGATCGACCTAATCCTATATACGAGGTCGACCGAAAATTACATGTCACCGTGACATGCATGTCACCGTAGCAAAGTCCTAATATTTTAGTCGCGTATAACATACTTTATGAGATGCACATTTTTTTCGGTAAAGGTCTCTTTTCTTGTAGTGTGTTATATAACAAAGATTTTTCACATATCATCTTTTGCATTGTAATATATGATATAGATGTATAGCAAACTACATATTTTATCAGTTAAGTTAACTTTGATTATGTACAACAAATGTAGTTTGTGATTCTTTTAGAATATAAAAACGTGCTGGGCTTGTTTATGAAAACAAAAATTGTAGTAGTCTGTTATTTCTATTTCTATGACTGAATTATTTGAATATTATTATTTTAATTATATTTATTAAATAATAATAATTTATCTATTTATCAAATCTTATAAAAAATTATTTTTTTATATGTTTTTAAAGAGAGAACATGTAGTTTTCAATTCTGACTCCGTCACTACGCATGGGATTGCCATCATGAATCACCATTGGAGCTTTGAGGTCACCTTCTCAAATCTCGATGGAGTACTCCATTGTGTACCCATCAGGGCCCCGACACACATAAGCAACTGCTTGCATGCACAACAGACGAAAAATGTGTAATTGGTTGAAAATGATAAACCTTAAAGAAATACGTCACCATTATGGTCTGACAGTTCTTGATTAGTTTGTTACCTATGAAATGGAGCCCAGAAAACCACGATGGCAGGCCAGGGAGAGTTACGCTATGTATATAGGCCCGATTGCGCGCCCAACATCGAGGCCCACACCCATGAGCCCTCGTTCGGCTTTGATTGTCTTGAATGTGTGCTCGACGTAGAGCACCGCCGCACCGACGGTGTACGCAACTGCTCTGAGGGTGCTGATGACCATCCCAGGCGTGGTGATGGTTGCAGCCCTCATTGGCCTAGTATCTTCTCGATTCCTGGAATCGGCGGCTTACCTGCCCATCGCGTGCCTTCTGGACGATGCAAGGGCGGTAATGGAAGAGAAGATGGGTCGCGTACATCACTGCCACGTTTGGGAAGGGAAATGAACAAGAGAAAAACTAATTAAATAAGCCATCGTCGTGATTACCATAATTCAACAGGAAAGCTAGCACATACTATACATATAGATAGTGTTGATTAGTAGCGTACATACCATAACCGAGAAGAAAGAAATGGAAGTAAGCGATGGCGGCTGAGAAAATGGCGAACCCGCTTGGCACCATATAACAACACTTTAGTTTTCTCAAAATCTACTTACAGAAAAGCAAAAGAAGACAACTTTTCTTCTGAAGCAAGTGCATATGTTATATAACAAAGATTTTTTTGCATATCATCTTCTGCATTGTAATATATGATATAGATGTATAATAAACTGTATATTTTACTAGTTAGTTGTGATTATATCTAATAATTGGGTGAAAAAGTATATGAGTTGGTTTATGGATAAATTCACAAATAATCCAGAAGTATTGGAACAGTGAGTTAGTATATACATAAGCTAACCCTAGCACGTAGAGCCAAGGGACTGGCCCACCATGGCCAGGGTCACTCCCATGACTCTAGTCGGAAGCATCAACGCTTTCGGTCCATAGATCTAAGGGACTTGCCCGAGACCTAGTCCCGTATCGTCCTCGAGTCCCACAGCCCCTGCTATGTAGTGCTTGAATGTGGTGCCACAAGTGATTTGATCGCGTCGGCCTGCTAGCATCGCTCCACCCAAAACTGTTGTGGCCATCATTGCCATCGATGCACTAAACACCATCGGTGAAATACGGTTGTGAACAAAACATTAGTCCAAAAGGAACGAGAAAAGCAGAGAGCCTAGAAACATCATGACGATCAGCATTTGGACAACAACCAGGTATTTTTTTGGGAGTCTTCGCTATTTTGGGCAAGCATCCTGATATAGTGCATGACGACGTACTTCCCAGACACTCGCTGGAGGGCATGTACATTGTTGCAACCAGGATGATCCCCCAAGTCCCTCTGCAAGAAAGCTAGGTCCACATCCCTGGTTTCCCTCTTAGGGTCGTCTCGTAGTATGGTCACTGGTCGACGGTGAGAGAATAGTGTAAAGAAACTAGAAAGAGAAGCTTAACTATAACATCAATGTTGGGGTTGACCCTTAAACGAATGGTGCATCATCTTATTTATAGCCCAAGTAGCTGGAGCACATTGTAAGAGATAAAAACTTAAAAAATCATTTTCCAATAGAGATAAAAACTTAACAAATCATTTTCCAATAACTCTAGTTATTGCGACCAAGTGGTTTATTCGTTAACATGGTAGCAAAACCTTGAACCGAGAGGTCTTGGTTTCGAATCCTTTTGATGACCCAAAGTTTAACAAATAGTTTGGCGTAAGGGAAGATATGGCCTACCTGTGCAACTATAATCCTAATGGTTTAGCAGTACAAGAGATTATATATTCAACCAAATGGTCGTTTGATAACAAAACTGCAAGTAGACTAACTTTAAGGTTAAAGTGAGAGAATTAATTCCTTTTTTTTTAATTGTTAAATGAGAGGTGTCATCACCTTACTCTTGGTTGTGTGGCCTTAGTTGTCCATTCTTTTAGAGATGCTAGGAAGCCTTCTCTCACACTCACAAGATCAAAACATAACAAAGGACGTGGGAGAACTCTCTAGGTGTATTACTCTGAAAAATATGGAATGAGTTACAATTGAAAAAAATGGCTCATTGTATAGATCTCTCCACATACAAGGCATCAATGCCTCCTCATATGGTCCCTCCCATTACTACACCTATTAATTCCCCCCCCCCCCCCCCCCCCCCCCCCCCCCCCCCCCCCCCCCCCGCACGCAGTGCACTCTCATAATGCCACCCATAATATGGCTCATAAGTGCCCCTAAGCTCAGAAAGGTGGATAATCATAGAGGCATCTCTATACTTCTAGTCTACCATACACGTCACATGTGCAGATCGCTATGTCGTTGCCATGTTGTTGTCATGTCATCTTCCACATGTGACATTCTCCCCACCTATGCTCGCGACGTCCTCGTCGCGTCCTCTTGATGAAAAGCCTCGGTCAAGTCATTGTTCTTTCAGAGCGTGAGCTCATTCTCCCAACTCGCCTCGCTCTCCGGAAGGTTTCTCTACTTGACCCAATACTCCACATGACTTGGATGAATGCCATCATGGACCATGATTTCTTCGACTTCGTGCTCGTATGTCTTAGTGACCAGTACCGGTGCTCGATGCGACTCCTTCCGCTTTTCATCCTCATTGTCTTCATTGAAAGCCTTGAGTTGGATCACATGAATGACCGGGTGGATCTCCAAATGCGTTGGCACCTCCACCTTGTACGCCACCTTGCCAATCTTCTTTAGAATAGGGAATGGCTCTTCATAGCGGCGAAGCAGTATCTTGTGAACGTTCTTGAGATGCTTGAAGTGACGAGGGTAGAAATTTACCATTACCATGTATCCCTCTCTAAACTCCAAGTGTCGCTTCTTCTTGTTAGCTCACTTCTTCATCTTCTTACTAGCTTGGGCTAAGTAAGACTTGACCATCTACATCTTCTCGTGCCGGCCTTTATCAAACTTGTAGGTTGCTGGAATGTTTCCTATATAGCCTGTTGCCACTGTGGTAGGCATCAACGACTGCTGCCCTATTGCCAACTCAAATGGCCTCGTGTTAGTTGACTCGCTGCAGTGCAAGTTTTATGAAAACTAAGACGTGTCCATCAACATCACCCAATCACGCTGGTTAGCACTCACATAGTGCCTCAAGTACACCTCCAGCAAGTTGTTTACCCGCACTGTTTTCCCATTACCTTGAGGATGAAAGCTAATAAGAAGTCCAAGTAAGAGTCCATGTTCTTGAACAACTGTCTCCAAAACTGGCCCGTGAAGTGCCCATCCCTGTCACTCATGCTGTTGCTTGTTATACCCCAATACTTCACCACGGTGTTGAAGAACATGCGAGTAGCATCTTCAGCCGTCATATCCTTTGGATCAGGGATGAACACTCTATACTTAGAGAACCCGTCCACAACAACCATAATGCAACCACATCCGTTGACTTTGGGAAGTATGATGATTGATGATAAAGTCCATACTTACACTCTCTCATGGTCGTTGAGGTGTGGGCAAAGGCTCTAACAAGCCTGCTGAGCTTCTCTGCTCCATCTTGTCTTGTTGGCACACAAGATATGTCTTTACATACATTTCCACGTCGTCTCACATACACGACCAATAATATGCTTCTTCGATGAGGGCTTGTGTTCTCTCGATGCCCGGATGACTATTCCACTTGGAATCATGTCACTCCTTCATGATCTCCTTCCTCAAGTGGGCCCACTGTTGCATGAACATGCACTCTCCCTTGGTCATGATGAGTTAAATCCTTCATCCAAACTGTCGAGTCTCCATGAGTCGCCTTTTGGTCTCTATGGATCAATCGCATTGATGATTGCTCTTGGTAAAAGTGGGAAGAGCTCTGGGTTATTCTGGTTGAACTCGGCTCAGATGCAGATCGATTTGTTGTCCAAAGGATGGAATACAGATTCAGGACTATCCCTTCCTTCTAATCAGAAGAGAATCGATACATTATGGATGAGCGAGGCAGGGGTAGTGGATTCTTTCTTTTTCGCAGGCGCGAGTCTTAAGGACGTTGTGAGCCAATACACAGCTGTGACTGGGAAGCCAACAATGCCACAACAATTTGACACTGCTTATCATCAATGCAAATGGAATTACAGAGATGAGGAGGATGTGGAGAATGTGGATGCCAAGTTTGATGAGCATGAAATTCCTTACGGCGTTCTGTGGCTAGATATCGAGCATACGGATGGTAAGAGGTACATGACTTGGGATTCGGTTATGTTCCCACATCCCGAGGAGATGCAGAAGAAATTGGCAGCCAAAGGGAGGCACATGGTGAGCAATTTTGATCCTCATATTAAGCTGGAAAATAATTATTATATACACAAGGAGGCTTCAGAGAAAGGGTATTATGTGAAGGATTCGAGTGGAAAGGACTTTGATGGGTGGTGTTGGCCTGGGTGGGTCATCTTCTTACTTAGATGTGTTGAGTCCTGAAGTGAGGTCGTGGTTTAGTGACAAGTTTGGGTTTAATAGCTATAAGGGTTCAACTCCGCCGCTGTATATTTGGACTGATATGAACGGGCTTTCCGTGTTCAATGGCCCAGAGGTAAGCTACTTGTCATCTGTCCTTTTTCTGTTATTCATTTTGAACAATTAGTTATATTCTAAAGCATATGCAAATATTAGAGAATGAAATCTGAGGCATGATTATGTTATTTTGTCCCCAATAAAATGCTTACCATTGAGTTGTTTTAGTTGCTCATTTACAAATAAGCGAAGTTTAAGCTTTCGAGATCTTCTGTTTAGCATGAGAAAGCATTCTGTAATTTTTTCGGGGTGTTTGTGGATAAGGTAAGAAATTAATTGATAGTAACGAACGTGCCAAATGGTGTAACAGTTGCGTCACAGAAAGCATTAAAAACATTTGGAGATGGCCAAACATCTGGTATCCACGGTGGGAGTGTATTATACGAAGATCATCCCCACCAGGAGTACCAAGACTCGAGCTGGAGGCAAGAGTATAATGATGGAACTGGAGGTATGTGTCTCCTTTCGCCATCTCTCTACCAATGCTATGATGATTTGGCGGTCGATCTTTATTCCATTAAAGTGCCTAATCGGATCCAATCTTGCCCTTTTTAGAAAGGGCAAAATGACGTCGTTCTATTCAAGCACATTCGTCGCACCCCTATAACGTACTATATGGTATGCATCCTAGAGAAGAATTTAACTTTCACTATAAGTTGATGATTTTTACATATATAAATCTATTATAACAAACAATATTAATTAAATCAAGGTTGTTTCCGAGAAATATACATTATCTAATAAACTTTAATTTTAAGCTAACTAAAATAATTTTTGAAATTTAAGTAAAATTATTTTTTGTACACACACATAAAATCAAATATATTATTTTGTACTTCGTATTGATTGTTTTCAATAATTTAAAGCAATACAATCACACTCGTAAGACTCTTAGGAGATGTATACATCTCCTTAGAAACAACACATTTTGTTTGACAGAAAAAGGGGGGATCCAAGGATCGCTTAGAACCCGATTTTTCCAAGTCATGGGAGGATCATGATGATCGCTTAAGACCTCATTTCCTTAGACATGCATTTCTTTATAAAGAGTCTAAATAAGTGTTGTATTGTATTGATATAAATTATTGAAAACAATCAATACGATTAACAATTAAGTAATTTATTTGTTTAACAATTAAGTAATTTGTTGTATAAACAAATAAATTACGTTAACAAAAGAAAAATTACAAGTGATGATACATAATATGTACTTTGTGGTCGTTCTAAACGTCTCTTGAACGATGATTGTATTGATCGTATAAAATAGTCGGATCAATATGTCCTTGATCAACATAATATCGTTGATTGTATATATCAACATCCGGCCCAACCTACGATAGCATAACAACAACATAAATCAATTAGTATATAAATTAAATAAACCATTATAATAACAACAAAGATTGGGTAAACTGAGTACGTACCGCTTGATAATCATCATAGTAAATACTCTCTTCTTGGATAAAATCGGCCATTTTTTTAGAATCCGGACAGAGGTTCGACGATTTTTTAGTGAAACCAAAGTAAAAGTTTTTTGAAGGCAGATCGGACTTAGCCGCAACCAATAAAACAACTACTTCCAAGGTTTTTGGGTGGGGAGGGGGATGGGTAGAGTGAGGAACTCAGAGAGAGAGAGAGAGAGAGAGAGAGAGGAGAATAGGGGTTTGGTGTGCAGAAAATGAGAGGAAGGGGTGGGTTTATGTAGGGACGAAACCGCGTGCTGGAAGGGCGGTTTGGTCTTTTTACCCCACGCAAAACCGCGCCTCCAGAAACACGGTTTACGTGTCACAACGCGCAAACCGCGCTTCAGGGCAACGGTTTCCTGTGGGCGACGTGGATCGCTCCGGTGGCAGGCGGTTAGGCCGTCAGATCGTCTGTCCATCGTGCGGTTGCATGGGCCGCCACGTGGAGGCGCGTTGTGTTAGCTGCCCAATGGCAAACCGCCCCTTGCCCGCGCGGTTTGACTGAGAACTGCGCGGTTTATGGGAAAGGCTGGTATTTTTGGAAATTCTTGGGAATGAGTGGTATTTTTGTAATTGTTTTTTAAATTTTAGATTTTTTTCCGCATATGGCAACCTCACAATGGCCTTGTCAAGCGTGGAGATGGAAAAGACAGGCCGTTTTTCTGTGTAGAGCATTCTTTGCTGGAACTGATCAGAGGTTTGGATCTGTCTGGACAGGGGATAAGTTGAGAACAGATTGGGATCACTTGAGAGCATCTGTTACGATGATTTTGACCCTTGGTTTGTCCGGAATATCATTCTCGATAGGGTAAGTCTTACTGCTTTTCTGTGGTGATTTGTTTGTCCTTGTCATTTCATTGTTCATTTCTTATTAAGGATATATCTTCTTGTTCTACCATTTAGGTGCCGACGTTGGAGGGTTCTTTGGAGCCAGAGTTACCAGTACGGTGGTATCAATTTGGTGCTTTCTACCCTTTAATTTCTTTAGGGCCCATGCTCGTCAGGACACGAAAAGGCGTGAGCCTTGGTTATTTGGGTACAATATCTTTGACCCTGTATCTGAACCTTAATCATTTCCTTCAATTCCTTTCATCATAGTATTTATGGTACGCTTTCTGATGTATTACAAGTTACAACAAATTGCAGAGAGCGAAATACGAAGCTCATAAGACTGATGCGGAATGGAAGGGTTTCTACGAACTAAGGAAAATAAGAGCTAATTCTGGGTACCCTTCTCATCTTATTACCAATGATAAACTTATATAGAGTTTCTACAATCCTTATCCGTAAGGTGCAAAGAAAGAAATAGTCCAAATCAGAAGTAAACTAGGAAACCAACTTCCTTAACACAACAATAATGATAATAACGGCTACTTCATGAACCGTGGCTTGGGCTTGGGCTGGCGGTTCGACCGCCGTGGCCCATGCACGTTTCCGTCCGCCACCTCAGTCTCGTCGGCCGGACCTGGTTCCCTTCGTGGCGCCTCCTCTCAGGAAATCGACGATGAATCTCCTCGTAGCTTTCCCAAGTGGCCTCTTCGCGCGGCAAATGGCGTCATCGTACTAAGCATTCTTCGATCACTCCTCCTCGCACTCGGGTCCACCGGTGGTCCAGCACTTCCTGTGAAAAAATCTCCAACTCACCGTCGTCATTAACAGGGGGCGCATCGGCGAGCACAATTTCTGGATCACCCACATATTTCTTGAGTAGTGACACGTGGAAAACCGGATGAATTCGTGCTCCCTCGGGTAACTCTAGCCGGTAGGCTACCTCGCCCACTCGTCCTAGAACACGGTAGGGCCTGAAATACCGTGCTGCAAGCTTCTGAGATGTTCTCCTAAAAACCGTAGATTGGCGATACGGATGGAGGCGCACCAAAACCCACTCTCCCGCATCATACGTCACGTCTCGCCTACTAGCATCAGCTAGTTGCTTGGCTTTCAAGTTAGCTGCCACCAAGTTCTTCCGCAGATTAGCCAAGGCCGCATCTCGTTCACGTAATTACTCACGACTCCCACTACTGGGCTGGCCTGCACATGATATGGAATGACTGTAGGTAGTTCACGACCTAGAGGGATCGGAATGGGGATGTCCCTATCGTGCGATGGTACGTGGAATTGTACCAAAATTCAGTCCAGGGAAGCAATGCTAGCCATCGCCGTGGATGTTGCTGCATAAAACAGCGCATGTACTGCTCCAAACATCGGTTGACTACTTCAGTTTGTCCGTCCGTCTGCGGGTGGTAGGCCGTGCTCATGAGCAACCTTGTCTTGAACTGCAAAAAGATCTCCCAAAAATTGCTCAAAAATACCTTGTCACGGTCGCTTACAATAGTTGCTGGTATACCATTATGTCGAATGACCCCATCAATGAAAGCCTCCGCCACGGTTTTGGCCGAATAAGGATGGCTGAGAGCCATGAAGTGACCGTATTTAGTTAAGCGGTCAACCACGACAAACAAAACTAACTTGCTTGCTACCTTTGGCAATCCTTCCACAAAATCCATGGATACATCCTCCCACGCTTGACTTGGAATTGGCAACGGTTGAAGTAAGCCTGCCGGTAGAAGTCCGGCCACCTTAACTTGTTGGCAGATATCGCATGATCGAATGTAGTCGCGTACAGCCCTAGACATTTGCGGCCAGTAGTAATGGCTACTTAGCCGCCGCATGGTTCGTTCTACCCCGGAATGCCCTCCTGCCGTGGAATCATGGTACTCCTTGAGAACTGTAGTTACCAAAGATGAATGAGGAGGCAAAAATGATGCGCCCTTTGAAAATAATCAACCCATCTCGAAGCTCATAGTCCCCAGGGTCATCCGATAGTGCCTTATCACGTAGACCCTTTAAGTAAGGATTGCTCACCACTGCCTGCCGAAATTCTTCCCATAGCGTGGCTTCCGGTCGTGTGATAGCTTGGAGGTATGGAGATCCCGCCCGTCTTGAGAGCCCGTCGGCAGCTTTGTTAGCCAAGTCGGGCTTATAATGGACCTTGAAATCATACCCCATAAGTTTTGCGACCCACTTGTGCTGGTCAGGGGTGGTAATACATTGCTCCAGCACGTGCCAGAGGCTTTGCTGGTCAGTGAATATGTGGAATGTTCGGCCGAACAGGTAAGGTCTCCATTGTTGCACCGCAATGACGACCGCTAGCATCTCCTTTTGATATGTTGACCATGATTCCTTCTTGGGTCCAAGGAGACAACTCATATAAGCGATGGGGTGCCCATTCTGAGATAGCACTGCTCCTATCCCCTTTCCCGATACATCCGCCTCGATAACAAAGGGTTCCTCGAAATTCGGCATTGCCAGCGTGGGTGTGGTGGTCATTGCTTGTTTCAGGCCTTCAAAAGCTATCGCAACTTCCTCGCTCCATACGAACCCGCCCTTCTTAAGCAACCTGGTTAGGGGTCGTGGAAGAGAACTATAGCCCTTGACGAATTTTCGGTAGTACCCGGTTAAACCAAGATACCCTCGAAGCTCAATTACATTTTGTGGTGCGGGCCATTCGATCATGGCCTTAATTTTCGAATCGTCGACGTGGACCCCTTCTGATGAATTAATGTGCCCCAAGTATTCTAGTCGTTGTAAATCGAACACACATTTTGACTTCTTGAGATAATACTGGTGCTGGCGCAGGATGTCTAAGACGGTCTTG